TCTACAATGAAAGGTACGATGCAGAGGGTCAACCTATCAACAGTATCTGAATTTGTTCTCGTAGGACTTTCTGATGCTCTGGAAGTCCGTTTTCTTCTCTTTATGCTGTTTTTGATCATTTATTTGTCGACCATGGCAGGCAACATCACCATCCTTGTTGCCATTGGTACAGACGCTCATCTGCTCAACCCCATGTACTTCTTCCTGGGCAACTTGTCCTTACTGGATATCTTATGTCCCACTGTCACTGTGCCGAAGATGCTGGAGGCCCTGTTGCTTGAGAACAAGGTGATTTCATTCACTGGCTGCATGCTCCAGTTGTTCTTCCTCATCGATGTTGTAGGCACAGAGATTTTTCTCCTGGCTGTGATGGCGTATGACCGTTACGTTGCCATATGTCATCCGCTGCAGTACATGAACATCATGAGTATGAAACTGTGTGCTCGCCTAGCCATTGGCACCTGGGTAGTAGGATTTTTTAATTCTCTGTTGCACACGTCTTTGATTTTTACGCTCTCTTTTTGTGGTTCGAATGAAGTTGACCAATATTACTGTGATATTCCTCCTGTACTGGCCCTCTCCTGCTCGCCTACTTACAGTAGGGAGTTGGTAACTCTCCTAGTTGCTGGGGTCCTTGGAAGCAGCGCCTTTGTGGTCACTCTGATCTCATATTCCTATATCCTCTCGGCCATCCTGTGCATGAACTCTTCTGAGAGCAGGCACAAAGCTTTCTCCACTTGTGGGTCTCACCTGACAGTAGTATGCCTTTTCTACGGGACCACCATTTGCACGTATGTACGGCCTTCCTCCACCTACTCACCCAGTCGGGACAGGATAGTTTCCATGCTCTACGGAATCCTCACTCCCCTGCTAAACCCCATCATCTACAGTCTGAGGAACAAAGAAGTGAAAAGTGCCCTAAGAAGAGTGATCAGCCAGGTAAGAACTGCTTTAACAAGACAAGAACGTCTCCCTCGGTCTCTGGTGTCCACTGGAGCCCCAGCGACTGGATAAGCACTGCGGTTTGTGACTGATCTTCTCTAACTTTAGCAATCTAAAAGCTAGATGCTGGAATCAAAACTCCTTCTCTGGGCTCCCTTTACAGTAAAAAGGGAGAGGTGTGCACCTCCAGAAGGCCAACTGGGTGGCACAGCTCTACACCACTCTCACCGGAGGAGATGACTTCAGCTGGTAATGTTTTTCTCCACTGAGCACAGCGGAAGCTTAGATGAGAGCCTCAGCCTTAGACAAGTTGTTGGATGCATACCTCAGAGCCTGAATGCTGGGAATTGGTCCTGTAGGCACACTTCCATACATGTTCTCCTGTTCTAAAGAAGCTGATAGGACTGGTGCCTCTTATTGACCACGTTGCTCCTGCAGAAAACACAAACACATCCTTTGTGGGAGCCTGACTGGAAGGAAGGCTCCTTTGCCGTCATTTGAGGTCATCGGTCTGGGTGTGTTTTCAACCAGCACGCCAACAATCCCACCGCAACCCCTGCAGTGCCACAATCTGGCCGTACTTTGCACGATGTATCTCAATCAGTCTGCCAGCGTGCAAATCAACTCCCATGAACTGGAGATGTCAACCATGCTGATGTCTATGCATTAGAGAGCTTTCTAAGACTCCTTTTATGGCTAGTGGGGGGCAAAGGGGGGCTTTGCAGTATGAGCTTTGACCATTGCACAGGCACACTTGGCTTTTCTCGGTGTTGGCACACTGAAGGAAGGTTTGCAGAGTGTGCTTTAGGTCTGTGCAAATCCATAACCAGAACAGTGCTTCATTCTGGGTAAAAAGTGAAGGCATGGCTGAAAAAGAGGTGGAAATGGATGTGCAGAGAGGGGGAGTGCTGCGCAGGCTCCTCTGTGCGTTGTGGCTATGAATCTGTGCTAGCCGAGAGGCTCTGTGCTGGAAGGATTAAACTCCTCCAGCTTGAGCTGGACCTCAGGCTGTGCTGCAGTGCTGTGGGATGTCATTCCAGCGGTGGTGCCTGGTGCTACATAACTGATGTGACTCTGCACACTGCTCCTTACTGAAACCAAATGTCAAGGATGTCTGTCTTGGTGGCCTTTTCTGTGGTTGTTGGCTTGGTGTAAAGAATAAGCTAATTACTTTCCTGAAGGAACTCGTATCTTAGTGGTAACAAATGCCCATTCTTAATATTAAACCAGTGGAAATAATTTAAGCTTCATCCATTCTCAGCTGTTGTTCATGTTGCCAATGAGTTCAAAAGTAATGACCAAAGAGCTTTCCCCTAGGGTAATACATTCTGGATTTTCTGGGGTTTTCTTTTGTGTTCTCTTGTTTTTAAGTATATTTCGCCAACTTAAAGTGCATGTAAGTCCATCCAAGACCACTTAAATCTCCAAGATGAGCATTAAGAAATGGGTAAGGCCACTCATGTAGCTGTAGTGCTACAGAGCTTCCCACAGAGTTCAACATCCTGATCGGCAGTAAGGCTGGGATTCAGTGCCTTCAACACAAGTTTTTTTGGCATGGAAGATGACCCAAGGTATCTTTCCTGGTTCATGGTTCCTGCTCCAGAAAAAGTACAGACTACTTAGTCACATTTCACTTCCACCAACTGAGTGACAAGATCAGAAGTCCTTTACTGCTGAGCAGAGGTTATTTACCTGTTACGAGCACAGCAGCAGATGGCTACACAGCATTTCCTGGGATTCTTTTAACTATGGCAGTGAAAACAATTTTTTTTTTAAAGCCGTTTATTCCAAAGCCATCTGACAAATCACAAGACATGCTTCCATATGGACGAAGTGACAGTCTGCACTTCAAAAAATATGCACAGAAAACTTGGTATAGGCTGGAGCACCATTCTGGTTCTGGGGTCAGTTAACTGCTCTGCAGGGTCCCAAAAATTACAGCAGAGATGGTATGGGATGGGGAAGGAGCAGCCATGCTTGGTTTCCTTCTAGAGTCACTTCTAGGACAGAGCAGGGGAGATGGGGAAGCAGGAAAAGCCAAGGAGGGGAGAGGTGGATTCATGTGGGACAGAGAAGATGATGATGACCCCCTGCCCCAGCACTGTTTGTTTTGCCACCTACACACCCAGACTTTCCACGGGATTCAGGGCATCCTAACGAGAGAGGCAGAGCAAGAGAAATGTGAGGCTCTGCTTTCCTACACTCCCTTTCTAACCCAGTCTTGGATGTTTTGTCAGACCTCTCCCATCCTGGAAGACAGCAATATCCCTGGACTGATACTTGTTGAAGACGGTTATCTGGCTAATAGGGATGGTCCTGGTTTGGGCTGGGCCAGAGTTAACTTTCTTCGTAGTAGCTAGTGTGAGGCTGGGGTTTGGGTTTGTGATGAGAAGGCTAATAACGTACTGAAGTCGCTGCCAGAATGGTCAAGGACTTTTAAGCTTCTCTGCTTTGCCAGTGCCTGCAGGAGAAGCTAGAAGGCAGCACAGTGCACCATGGTTTAGTACTTGCCTTGAGGTTTAGGACTGAGATGCAAATTGGGCGGTGGTATATTCCACGTCGTGCCCAGTATATAGATGAGGATTTACGTGGGGCAGTGCAGGCTTTGGGGGTGATGCTGAGCCCCTGCCACAGGCAGGGCAGGGCTGAGGAGGAGCTCCAGGAGGAGCAGCTATCTTGCCCAGGCTCATCCTCGTGGCCTTGTCCTCCTACCAGGGCAGCACAGCTTCCTGAGTGCCCCTGAGCCCACCCTCCCCTTCCCCAATGCACTCTGCCCCCATGGCAGGTTATAGGCCCCTTGCACAGCTCTCTGGAGAACAAATAAATGTGTTTATTTAGAAGAACAGGCTGTTCATGATGAATAGGAGCTGGAGGAGGCCCCACTGTGCCCCTCCTAAGCTTGGGAGCTCTACTCAGAGGCAGAGCTCTCCGAAGGTGGGCGCAGCTTCTTTTGACGCCGGCGAATCTTCTCCGACACCAAGTGCAGGTTGTTTCTGTTCTGTGCTGTTGCAATGTCCTGGGCTTCCTGAGCTGGGCACAGGTGGCTAGAGCCCGCGTGCCTGCTGCCACGCACGGGTGTGAGGGACGGGCCGGACATCTGCACAGGGACCCCTCCATCCCGAGGGAGGCACGTGTCTCTGATGCTCTTGGAGGGACTGAGGCTCTCAGGGGACCTGGAGGAGCTGCAGCCACCAGAGGGAAGGTGTTCCTGCTCTGCCAGCTCCTCCAGGTCCTTCCACAATGCCCGCAAGGTGAGAGCATCCAGTGTGGGTGCAGCCCTGGTCCCAGCCCCCACGGACTGCACCGGCTGCCGCCTCTCCTCTGCCAGGTCCGCAGCACCAGGGTGCACCCAGGATGCCCACAGGACCACCTGCAAAACAGGGAGCGGTTGCCTGAGCCGTGGAGGGCCAGGGGCAGTGGCATCACCCAGGGACTGTCCACCCAGGCTGCTCCACACCGGGACAAGTTTGGGCTGAGAGCCCCTGGCCTGGGGATGCACCTGCACAGCCGCAGGGGGACCACAGGGCACTTATGTGGCTCTGGTGCCACCACTTGGCACCTCTGTATGCAGCATTGCTGACTCTGGCTGTCACCCTGTGGGCACAGGGGTGTCACACAGTCACCCACCTGTGGCCATCCCCCAGCCCTGAGGGAGCCCTGTACTGGTGGGTGATAGGCGATGGAGAGCAGGATGGCCCAGGCAGCCAGGAACAGGCTGCAGAGGCTGAGGAGAAAGCTGCAGACGCCAAGAAGAAAGCTGCTGTTGCTGATCATGGTGCACGGTCCCATATGGCCACACTGGGAGCTGTGGGGTGGTGGCTGCAGTCCTGTGGGTGGGGACACCTCAGTGATGTCACAGCCCTGCATCATCCCAGCTCTCACCCCGCATCACTGTGGGTAACTTGTCCTTCTTAGACATTTGCTACTCCTCCATCATCAGCCCCCAAATGCTGCTGGATTTTCCAAGAAAAAACAAAGCCATTTCTTTTGCTGTCTGCCTCACACAGATTTATTTTTATGCCATTTTTGCCACAGCTGAGATTTTCCTGCTGGCTGCCATGGCCTATGACCGGTATGTGGCCATCTCCAAGCCACTGCTCTACAAGGTTGTCATGTCTCCTGGTGTCTGCAGGAGGCTGGTTGCTGTGTCCTACCTTCCAGGGTTGCTGAATGCCACCACGCACATAAGCGCCGTGGTCCGGCTGTCCTGGGGCTCCCCAGTCATCAACAACTTCTACTGCGATGGACCACCGCTGTTTGTCGTCTCTTCCACCGACACACGCCTCAATGAGGGTTTAGTGTTGGTGGGTTTCAGCATGATGGCCCCCAGCCCGCTCATCCTCACCTCCTACGCCCGTGGTGCGGTGGCCGTGGGCAGGATGGGCTCCGTGGCAAAGCTTGCTCCACCTGCGCCTCCCTCCTGGCAGCTCTCACCATTTTCTATGTGTCTGCTGCTTTTAATTACATGCAACCCAGTTCATCGAGCTCACTGGAGAGCAAGCACATTGTGTCTTCTACACCATTATGGTCCCCATGCTGAACCCCATCATCTACAGCCTGAGAAACAAGGAAGTGAAGCGTGCCCTAAGCAGGGTTATCAGGAGGAAAATGCACTTCTGAAAGACGATCCCATTTATATTATTTTCCTCTTTTTCTCTAAGGTTTCATACAGGTCTCCAAAACCATTTGGCACTTCGTATGTAAGGACTGAAGAATTAGTTATCTGCTCTCAGATCATGTCTGCTAACATGGCCACACGGGTCTTGTCCCTAGTACGAACTTCTTGCCCGGTTACTCTACCTCCCACCCGCTAATCATGTTGATACTGTGCAAAACAAGGCAAAAAGCAAGTCTGTGAGCCAGAGATGGTGACAATCTGGATCTTCACACAGAACCACAGGACAGCAGATGTTTGATGGGACCTCTGGAGATGTCCTGGTCCAACCACCTGCTGAAAGCCAGGTCCACCAGAGAGGCTGTCAAGGAGTGCATCCGCTCTGAATATCTTTAAGGATGGAGACCCCACAACTTTTCTGGGTTTTCAGTGCTTTTACAGGAATAAAGCTTTTTCTTATGTTTAAATGGAGTTCTCCGTATTTCAGTTTGTCTTCTCACTGGGCACCACTGGGAAGAGTTGGGGTCTCTTCTCTTTATTCTCCCCACAACGGGTATTTACACTCACTGGCAAGATCCCCCTGAGCCTTCTCTAGGCTGAACAATCTGAGCTCCTCCTGGTATGAGATGGTCCAGTCCCTTCATCCCCTTCACTGGTCCTGCTCCAGCATCTCTCTTGCACTGAGAAGCCGAGACCTGGACACAGTATGAATTTTCATGTGCAGTACTAAACGAAGAATACTTAAAAAGCCATGATAAAATACAAAATTCTATTAATTCTGAACAAACTTATGTTAGATATCTGAGTATTTCTAGGCTGACTCATAAAATGTTGCACTTATTTGTTGACCACCACTAGAACTGCATTATTTCACACCCTTGAACTGAATGCACTTTTCTGTATATATAAAAAAGACATCAAAGGACCTATTCAAATTCATTTTCTGAGTCTTCCCTTAAAATAAATTTTCTTCTCTAGATTATAGGAAGAGCCAGAGGCACTTTTTCCATTTGTTTAGTTCAGCGCAGAGTATGAAACAGCGATCAAGTACAAAACCTGGAGCTCTGCGCTGAAGTTAATGCTTTTTATTTCCCCCTGTGCATTGCTGTATATAGAGATACGCTCAATTCCATCAGCCATCCTCTTGCTCAGCCTCTCCTCATGCCTGATTCCTCCAAGAGCACCTCAGGGTGCAGCCCTGGCACTGTGCTGGGTGTTTCTGGACTCTGCCCATGCTCACACGGGCTTGCTCCAGGTTGCACGAGGAGCTCACGTCATGCACCGCCTCTCTGGTGATTCAGGCTGGATGCTGAGAGGTTCTCCAGCAGAAAGAAGGTGTAATGTCCCCTTCCCCAGCCTGAAGTGAGATGTCATGAACCCTCCCAAGCCTGCCAAGAGGTTGGCCTGTGTGAACAATGAATTCACGAGGACTGATGGCACTTTTCACAACATTGAGCATTTTTAACACATTAATTTTATTTACCCCATCAAAGTGAACTGTTCTTACACAGCAGCATCTCAGGGAGATGCAAGGCTGCAACGCAGCAGCAGACAGGACTATGTTCTGATGTGTGCAGGGGAAGGAGATGGAGGATAAGTGTCAGGATGAGCCTGGGATGGCTGCAGATCAAGCGATGCTTTTATGGACAGAGCTGGCTATGGAGGAGGTGAACCCACCTCACAGACTTCAGCCCCTCCGGCAGCAGAGAGCAACTGAGAAGGACCAGAATCAGGGTAGTTTGTGTAGGTCAGGACCCTGATGGCAATAGGTTGTAGTGGTCCTGATCAACCTTATCTGGTGTTTCGTTGCCCCGCCACATGCAACTCACCCCCTCCCATGGACTAGGATCCCCATTTTAGGGGACCTTCAGGCCTTTGCTAGGCCACGGTGTAGGTGTGCCTGGCTGGACCTGTCTCCTGGATGGACCTCAGACCTGTGCTGTAGATAGATAGTTTTATTTCTGGATGGACAAATGTATGTACATTGTATTTTGTCTCCAGCCACGTTGCCTTTTGCTTCTGACTGGACCCTCTTAGATGACCCCTGAATCTGGTCCATCACCTGCCGTGGCTGTGGCTGTTGATGGACCCCTCGTGATGTCCCAAGCACTTGTTGCAAGGTGCTGAGTAACTTCTGCCAACCAGAGGCTGTTGGCCAGGGGCAGCTGCTGGTGGTGTGATGCACAGATCTGTTATCCTTCAAATGCCAGTGGTGACTTCTGCACCAAGGGAGTGGAGATATGCGCCAACCCATAAACGCTCCAAGCACCAACTTCAGGGCGTGGATTAGTTGTGACAAAGTAAACTGCTTTAGAAGTGTTTATTGACTTAAACAAAGAGGAAAGTTTCCTTCTCCTTAGTGTCTGTGAAGTTGTCCCCCAGGGGCTTGTTAGGAGGAATGATGTAGGTTTACCACGAGCTTTCTAAGAAGGTTTCAAGATCATTAGAGGCTTCTTCACGACGCCCAGAAGGGCTTGTTAAACCGATCACTCCTGGGTGGCTGGCCCCCAGGGTGAGTTCCTTGGTTTGGGAAGGGGAGAAGTGCAATTTGTGATGGAAATAGATTTAATGACTTGGCTGATGTTGGAGCTCAGGCCTGCTGAGAGGCTTCCAGTGGGTCATGCCATGGCTGCTACCTCCACCTGCTGCTAGACCAGGCCTCTTAGCCTCAATAAGGGTTAAAAAATCCCCTGTTCTCCCCACCTGCACAGTTCATATGCATTTGTTTGCCTTCACAAATCAGATACTTTATCAATTCCTTATCTTCCCTATTCTTCATTCATGGGAAGAATATTTTTTAAAAAGTAAAAAGTCCTTTGGGTGTGGTAGGAGCCTGGGTTGGTCTAGGAAAAGGCTGTTGTCTGGCTCTGGCTACAATTCCCCTTTTCTGGCTTACTCTGCACTAAATATCTTTCCATTTATCTTTTTATTTACCTGCTAAAGGCTTCATCTATCCAAGGGGTCACTTACACTATCCCAAGACTCTGCAGGACTCCTCAAGCACACAGCCCAAGTCCCAGCTCGATTCTGGGCTGGCTCTGCCGACAGAATTCACGGCTAACTAATGGTCCTGGGAGGTGGCTGTAGGGTCTTGGTCTGGGCTGGTCCTGAGCAGCAGGAACATCTGCCAGCATAGCACATCTCTGCTGGGGCTGTGCAGCATGAGTCGTTCACCAAAGCGGCAATACGTCCTACCCCAGCAAGGACCCGTGCCAGATGTCAGACCCAAACCTTTCCTCTGGCCAAAGGTGGCCTACAGCAGTGGGGGCAGACATCTGGCATGTCGCCTTCCCCCAGGGGACAGCGATCTGTCCAAAAACCCAAGGTGGAGAAATAATCACATTTGAGTATTGTTTCAACTCACAGAACTAAATTCAATCCTACCAATCCCTGAAAAGTTAAATAAAGAGGGATTTGGGTCTACTCATCGCCCTTCTGAGGGCACGCTTCATGTCCTTGCTCCTGAGGCTGTAGATGAGGGGGTTCAGCACTGGGGTGACAATGGTGTAAAACACCGCAACCACTTTGTCCCTGTCCTGCGGACGCCTTGACTTGGGATTCATGTACATGCAGATGGCTGTCCCGTAGAACACGGTCACCACCATCAGGTGGGATCCACAGGTGGAGAAGGCCTTGGATTGCGCACGAGCAGACTGAATCTTCAAGATGGTGGAAAGGATATGGGCATAGGAGGTGATGATCAGAAGAAAGGGGATGAAGAGTATGAGGATGCTGAAGATGAAGACGACCAACCCCGTGAGGGCAGTGTCGGTGCAGGCCAAGGCCAACACCGCTGGCACTTCACAGAAGTAGTGGTTCAAGGTGTCAGGCCCGCAGAAGGGCAGCCGCAAGGTGAGGATGTTGATGACCATGGAGCTCAGCAGGCTGCTGGCCCAGGAAGCCACCACCATCTGAGTGCACAGCTTCCTGTTCATGACAGCGGTGTAGCGCAAGGGGTGACAGATCGCCATGTATCGATCATAGGCCATGACACCAAGCAGGACACACTCTGTCATGCCAAAAGCCAGACAGAAATACATCTGAGCGCCGCATCCAGAGAAGGAGATGGTCTTCTTCTTGGCCAAGAGGTTCACCAGCATTTGGGGGATGTTGCTGGAGATGTAGCAGATATCTACGAAGGACAGGTTGGCAAGGAAAAAGTACATGGGTGAGTGCAGCTGGCAATCAGCCCTGATCACGGTAATGATCGTGATGTTCCCAACCATGGTGAACAGATACAGACCCAGGAACACTATGAACAGAACAGCCTGTGTCCTTGGCTGTGAGGAAAGGCCTTCAAAGATGAATTCTGTCACTACGCTTTGGTTTTCCCTGGCCATTATCATTCCAGTGGCTTAACTGTCAAGACAAGAAACATTAACAAAGTCAACTCAAATCTGTCGCAAGTTAAGTGTAACAAGAGCTCATCTTTCTCTCTGAAGGGGAGAGAATCTGCCGTGGAAAATAATGTACCAGACACAACATACCATCCATTTTATATCATCCATTATGGTGACCAGAGAAATGAGAAAATGTTGAGGAAGTTTTCTCATGGTACATTTAGCTGAACCCCTGTTCATGATGGTTGCGGTCTAATTACACAGCTTTAACAGAAGAATGCCTGATTTATACACATTTTAAAGCCCAACAGACTTACTATGCTCTTTAGAAAATAAAAATTCAATGTTAGATTGAATGACTATGTGTTAAAAAACCAGTTCTTGATATCCTCTGTTAACATGGGAAGAAACATGAAACAGATTTCTGGAGTGAAACAATCCTTCGGACACTCTCCTTATGACATGGATTTACTCCTTTGGACAAATGTCCATAGACCTGTATCCTCCTCCTGCAATAAAGCCAAAATTCAGCACGCAGACCACATCTCACAAGTTAAATATGTCCAACCACCTTAATGTATATTTAGGATCTTATGACATTCTCATCACTATTGAATCCAAGATGTTTTAAGTCTTTACTATGACATGGAATTTTCCAAGCAGCATATGGTCACAGTTGCTGGATCCCGAGTCTTCGTGCAGTAAAAGGAGAGTGGCGGAATGCCAACATTAATCACGCTGTGGAAGTCAGTAATAAATGTCACTCGATATGCTGTAGGGTACCCGAGACATCTGAAGGCGGCCGTCACATTTGATGTGGGGATGTTGGAGGGCTCGTGCTTCTCTGGAATGAAAATTGGACAAATGACAGGTCACATTGGGATGTCTCAAGTGGTACCAGGCTGCTACAAATGAACAAATTATTTGGATGCTTAGTTGATGGAGCCAATGGACTCTAAAGGGCGACTCAGGCGACCAGCTCGTAGGTGACAATGTTAGCTTCCTGAAGAGCCGAGTAGCCTTCTGGACTTAAAGCTGACACTTGGTTTTTTCCTCACGCATGGCAGAAATGTAGATTTATACCTTACATATAAATGCTTGTGTGTAGCTGCCTAAACCTGATGCCTGAATCTGAAACTGAATCCTACCCTGTGTGTCTGAGACCAGGCAGCCTCTCACAACCTGAATTAGCAGTTCTGCTGTCAAGGGAGTGCTGGCACACGAAGCATCTTTCCAAACCAGAAACTGTTCTGGAAGGGAGGTTAAGAAATAATCCTACAAAGCTCAAATCAAGGAGGCAGTTTGCCTCAGCCCAGGTGGGTGAGATGGCTGAGCTGTCACCCCAGCCCACACGACCGGAGGGCTCTGTCTCCACCGCAGCCCCGGGAGCCCAACCGCTCAGCACCATCCCCAAGTGGGCGCAGGCAGGTGCATCCCTCCTGAGTTGGAAGGAAGCATTAAGGTGCCGAAGCACCCACACATCCTCTTGCTGTTCTAGGTACACCGTGGTACCCAAGACATCTGTATGGGATGAGCACGATAACAGAGCTGCAGGAGCCTTGCATCGACTAGCTTTTCACCAGCACCTGCGCACATGGCAATCAGCTCATGTGTAAACACCTAAACATCAGTGAGACAGGTCCGAGCCCTGATGTTCAATGGGATTAATCAAGACATGAACTCTCTAGTCTAGGTGGACTCTACCAGTTATGATATGAAATTCAGCATCTTTCTTAAGATGGATGTAGAACCCGAGAGACACCTTTCTCTCACGGAAGCACACGTATGCACAATCATTTTAAAGCCTACGCCAACATAAACAGCTACTTGCAACTTCTGCCCCTGTTCAGGCATTTATCATTTACATAACTGCACTGCGTGGGCAGAGAACAATTAACGCTGCCTTCAGTAAGCCAGCGGTGGTAATGTTTTTGATGGATATCAGACCACACTAAAAAACATCCCTCGGGATCCAAAACCTGTAAGTCTCTGGGAGTGAGAAGGGAAATTTATCTATAGTATAAATAACTAGAGTTGCATTTTCTATAGGATTTAGTTTCCTAAATACTTTGGATTATCTGAGACCAAGTGGCTCATGAGAAGTTCCATGGACTTGATAGAAGGGCTTCTGGATCACTCACCTACTTCTGCAAATCCTCTCCATGCATCATTGACATTAGCAGGTAGCACAAGCTCTGAACTTTCCACTTTTTGATTTCAAACCCATTTGAAGGATGAAAGTCATTCAGGTTTTATAGGTGAGAAAAAGTAGAAAAAAAAAAAGGTCAGTACTTTGCCCAAGGTTGAGAGAGGTTTCTTAGAGAAACCATTGTCTTGTCACGCCATATCCATCAGCAGGACAAACATACCTCGGACCTGTGTGAATTCTCATATAGACTAAAATACCTCAAAATCATCCTGACACATCTGTTCAAGATTTGTAAAATCAAATAATGTTTTTTCTCTACCTGAAAATGTCGAATCCGCAAGGAGGCTGAAACTCACCCAATAACAGGAATACCAATAGCAGAACACACAAAAGAAATTGCAGACGTCCTCCCCAGTCTCAAGAAATGTCGGATATTTCTAGGTAAGAAATAAAGGTGGAGTGGCTCGGTCCTTCACGAAGATTTAACTTATTTGAAGTGATAACCAAGTAGGGGAAGAATTGAAATAACATTTCAAAATTTCCCTTTTGAGACACCGTAAATAATGTGAAATGCCAAAGGGAAATGGTCCCAGAGGTAACATTGCCGTTACTTCTTGTAAGCACAAGCCCAAGTGTATTTTTAAGTATTTAATTCATTAACAACTGTAGGTGCAGGAAAAGTTACTGGAATTGCCTGTTCTCTGCTCAAGACTTGCTGAACTGTATGTTACACTTCAAATCTTAGGAGACCAAATATTTTAACAGATTTGGGGAGTTTTTAGAGGATTGTTTAAACACGGAATTTTATCCAGTTATTCCTCTTTTGAGCCAAATGATTTCTGTGAGGGTGAAACACACCAACACTCCAATTTTGGTCTGAAGACCTCACAAACTGCAGAATCGGATACATCTCGTAAGGTCAAATCCTCCTCAGGTGTCCAAACTTAGTTACCTCGGTCTAAGCTATTAACTTTCTGCATCGTTAACAGGGGAAAATACCCATTTTTGGAGCACAGGGGAAACAATGCTTCCTCCATGCTCAGCACAGAGGAATCAGCGTTTCTAGAGAGCGACCGATCTCTCTGGAAAGAGGAGGAGAAACACCGATATTCGGTGAAATGACTTCCCAGGGGCTGCTGGAGTGGGAAGCAGTGCTGGAATGGTTTAGATAATTCCCCCTAGCACCAGGTGTTCTTCTCTTTCCCCTCTGCCTGGACCCGGGACAAACACCTCAAAAAGAGGGAACTGCACTGGATTCTGCAAATACGGGGTTTTCTGCTGGTTGAACTGCAAAAAAATGAGGGCTCAGTGACTGGGTTTGTTTCATGGCTCATTTTTGATGAGGTGTCGGTGCTGGGTGAGGTGTGCCAAAGGTTCATTCAAACTTTTGGAGGCCTCAGGAGAAGGAAGACCTCACTTTGGACCTGCTTTCCCTAGGAATAGAAGCATCTTCAGCTGTTCTCAAAAACCAAACATGTTCTTGGTTTGTTTGGGGTTTTTTTCTTATTCCCAATAGCCCACAGCACTAGAAAGGGGATTCTCTGTCTCACACCTGTGATTTTCTTTGCCAGAGCTGGAAAAAAATCAAGAGAGAAGGATCATAATATACTCATCCAGCTTCTAATACTCTTTCTCTGAACATCTATTTTTGGGTGCCGCCAGAAACTGACACCACTGGGTGGACCCGTCTCACGCCGCCGGGCTATTCTCATCCTCTTACCAGTGGGGCTGTCCCATTGGAAGCGCAGGGTGGGAGTACAGACAGAGCCGTCGCCGAACGGCCAGCTGGAACAGGCACAAACATGTTGGCAAGCTCTGCCTGGTGATCTTTTTTTATGCTGCTGCTTCAGGAGAATCTCTGGTCTTCCCCTGCAGTTGCTCACTCCCATCTCTACAAATACCGTCTCCTCTTCTGCCCCAGGATGCTGGGAGGAGAGGCTGAATTTCTGGAATGAGTTCCCCTCTAATTGTATAAAGCTATCCCATAATAATAATTCTACATGTCTGTTGTACGGTGCTGTCAGGTATGAAAATATGCAACATGAAAGGTATAAAGCTATCCCATAATAATAATTCTATATGTCTGTTGTATGGTGCTGTCAGGTATGAAAATACACAACATGAAAGAGGTTGTGATTTTTATTTTTTTTTTTCAATACTATCCAGTTGTGAAATTCAGGTTGGGCTGTTGTTCTGGCTTTAAGATTCCCAAGAATTTGGGGATCAAAGAGTTAACATTCAGTGTTGCAGTACCACTCTCTCCTCCTTTTTCTCTGTATGTTTTTAAAATTCTGCATACAAAAGATAGAATTGGAGACTTGTAGAACAGTTTGGGTTGGAAGAAACCTTCACCACCCAGAAGCTGCCAGGTCCTCGAGGGCACTAATAGGACTTAACGGTCCAGAGGAGCGTCCCCTGGCCCACCCCACACACCTGCCCCTGGCCCAGGAGCCCCATTTCAGCTCAGTCTAAGGCCATCCGTCCTTCCTCCACCACGCTGGAGGTGTGTCTGGCCGCAGCTGGATGGACCCGGGGTGAGGGCTGTCGCTTTGTCTCCAGCCCTGCTCCTGGCCCATCTCCCTTTTTTCCTGCTGGAACACCGTGGGTGGACCCTGGACCCAGTTCATTGCTTGTGGGGCTGTTAATGGGCCCCATTGCCAGCCCCTGGCTCTGCCCGCTGCCTTCAGCCCCCCCAGGTCTGTGTCCCCCTCCCGGGGACAATTTGCTGAATTGTTGTGATCACTTCGAGAGGCTCTTGAATTTTTTTTTTTTTTCAAAAAGTGGTTGCTTCAGGGTCACAGTGGCCTTCTGCCCATGACTCCAGATCGCAGGTCGGGACTCCGTTTTTCCAAAATGTCCATCCTCATTTCAGCGCTGTTTTGATGCTTTTTAAAAAAAAAATAATTATTTATGTGTTTCCCATCATAGGAAATATTAGAATCATTTTCAAGAGCACTTACAATATCTTCATGGAAACATTTCTGTGCTGAGACACCACCAGCAGCGTTTTAATTGTTTGTTCTGCTCTTCCCTTGAGAACATCGTGGTCTCCAGTGTCCAAAAGGAAGATATAAAATCTGTGAAGTTCCCCAAAAGAAACATTTCCTGCATCCAGGAAAAAAAAAGAAGTATTTCCCTAGCAGGTAAGTCTCCTAATGAGTAAAATTTCCTTCTGTTCAGGGAGTTGTGTAGAAATTGTTCTAAGCCAGTTGCCTTGTTGACGGAGTGAATTTCAGATGCACTAAAGGAAAAGTTGCTGGATGAAGATAAAACAGAAGAAAAAATAGTTATTAATATATCTTTAAAAAGGGGAGAGGTTTTCTTATTACTTTTTGTACCTAAAATATTGATCTGGGACCTGAAATCTCTTGCAGATCTAGCGGAGACCACTGAATTTTTAGCAGCTGGTAGGACTTCTCTACTGAAATTTCTGAGCGCGATCAACAGCTGAAAATAAGAAGAAACAGCCACATGCGAGTAACCCCGGAATATTTTGTGGGGCTGAAAGATTCTTTTTTACTTTCACCAGAAGTCTCTCCAATTGCCTGTGACAGTGTGAAAATAAACTGTAACGTTGGACAGTCGCTGTTTAACTGGACTCAGCTAAAGATAAAACACGAGTGAAATTGTGTGGAACTTGCCACCTTGTTCTAGGAACCTAAGTGGGGGACTTATGTCATGACCTGAGTCACTCCAGATGTTTTCTGGAGTAAATCCAGAAAAGGATTCAGATTTTAGGATGCGCCAAGCCTTCACCCGGAGTGAACGATCTTGGAAGACCAGATCAAACAAAGCTGTCTAAAATGAGATGGAACCATCTAACCTGTCGGCAGTGAAGTTACACCCGTCGCCAGGCTTCCCTTCTCGTCTATACCCAGATGTGTCCCACCTCTCCCTCTGGGATGTTCTGGCTGGAGCTGAGGATGCTCCCCTCAGACCAACCCTTGGAAAACCAGCCGCAGGTGAGATTCGTTACCACTGGGGTGCCTGGAAACAAAGTTGGGAGCTGAAGCTCTCCTCTCTGAACCCCCAGACTCTCACCATCTCGTATCCTACCCTGAATGAATCAGCTTAGATTGATTATTTTTTTTGTCAGGAACATAGAGATTTCTGTTTTGTCTGTGCCTTTGTCCACATGTTGTTGATATTTACAGGATTATTTATTAGAAGTCCTTTTTTAATCCTTACATTTCCTGTAAATATAAAGGTGAGCAAAATTAATACCCAGAATTAATTTTCCAGGGGATTGAATCTAATTGAAATTTGATTAATAGTTTGAGCCAAAAAAAAAAGTGGGGAAAATTCCTTGAAAAAGGTAAAAAAAAATTATGTTCAAACATTTTAAAATAATATTAATGACTTTCTTTTCATCAATTGGTTAAGATCTGATCAGGCTCAGGAAAATAAACCCAGAAAATATTTTGTAAGAAATCCCAGAATGAGATGTAACATTTCATTTCACTTGAAACTCAATTACATGTGTTTGTTCCAAACTAATGATGTCTCTTTGTGGGTTTTTTTTAAACCTGTTTATGTTCCAGCATTTCCACCCATTTTTTCCCAGTGTTCAGTTTTACTGCTGACTCAGAACCATCATCACCAAGCGTGCCTGAACTCCTTACTCTGCTGGTCACACGGGTAAATGAGGTTCTGTTTTATGTATGCGACAGGAATGTACAGGAAGGAATTCCACACAGAAAGTGTGTTTGTAAAGCTCCCTGTGGATGTCCCCTTTCAATGGGCATCACCTAAGCCCCTGGTTTTCCCTCTGATACTGGCTGAGGTGCTTCCATTTCCCCCACCCCTATCTCGTGAAGGATGTGATGTGTTTGCACGTTGCTTCCCCACCAGGACTGACTGCGCCCCAACAAATCTCCTGTGTACGAAGCCAAACACAAGGGAATGAAATGCCTGAAGAAAACTGCACCACGCTGACCGAGTTTGTTCTCTTGGGTTTCACCGACCGTCCGGAGCTGGAGATACTTTTGTTTGGGCTCTTCCTCCTCATCTACACCACCACCTTGGTGGGGAACGCTGGCCTCATCCTGCTGGTCCGGCTCAATGCCTGCCTTCATACCCCCATGTACTATTTCCTCAGCAATTTATCTCTCTTAGACCTCGGCTGTTCCTCTGCCATTGCTCCCAAGATGCTGGTGAACCTGTTAGCAGAGCGGAAGACCATTTCTGTAACTGGCTGCGCAACACAGATGTTTCTCTTTGCAGCCGTCGTTGACGCCGAGTGCCTCATTTTGGCCGCGATGGCCTATGACCGCTACGTGGCCATATGCCATCCTCTTCTCTACGCCGCTGCCCTGTCCCGCAGGGTCTGCGCCTCCCTGGCAGCTGGGGCTTATCTCAGCGGGGGTCTGACAGCGCTGGTGCACACGTTTTTCACGTTCACGCTGTCGTTCTGCGGCTCCAACGTCATCAACCATTTCTTCTGTGACATTCCCCCGCTGCTGGAGCTCTCCTGCTCCAGCACACACGTCAACGAGCTCCTGCTCTTCGCCCTCTGCGGCTTCATCCAAACCAGCACCTTCCTCACCATCGTTGTCTCCTACGCCTGCATCCTCAGCGCCGTCCTCCGGCTCCACGTGGCGGGCAGCAGGCACAAAGCCTTCTGCACCTGCACCTCCCACCTGACAGCCGTGGGGCTGTTCTACGGCTCCCTCCTCTTCACCTACTTACGGCCCAGCTCCAGCTACTCGCTGGGCACAGACAAAGTGATCTCTGCGTCTTATACCATCGTCTTTCCCATGCTCAACCCCCTGATTTACAGCCTGAGAAACAAAGAGGTGAAGGATGCCCTCAGGAGAACAGTAGAAAGAAGAGTGTTTTCTCTGTGATTTTATTAAAAGTTGAAATGATTTAGCGTGTTTCAGGTGCAATACACAACAAGAATCCAAGGGATGGGATGTAACTGACTAAATGTAGATGACTTGTTAGGAATATCTGCACCTGAGCTAGCTTCCCAGGTTCATTTTGTAGTTGCTGGAAAAAAAAAAACTAGTCCATTTAGGAAGGGGTTCACTTATAAAATAGAAGCCTGGGTCAGATGGATCCCAACCCTGGAAGATTTCTTTCTTCTATAACGAAAGTTATCCCAAATGCAGCAGAAAGTTGTATTTTTGTAGTTTACAACTATTGAGACAACTCTCACCAAAACCAAGATGTTTTAAAGAATAGACCAATTCAGATAACTACTCCATATGGGTGTGATTGCCTGTATTAAATTTGGAGAACTAAAAGCCCTTGTGCAGTGAAGAGACTTGTTTGGCAGCCGGCTCTGCCATACCCTCTCTAGAGAGGGGAATCTCATCTGCTCAGGATATCGTTTATTTTTAGAATGGGACTCGTTCAAGTTTTACCACGTGTCCTTCCTGCTATTCTGCTCCCACCAGACATCTTTCATCCTTGTTCCCATCCTGTGTCTTACCTTGAAGATGTTCCCATTGCAGATGTTTTTCCATAATCTGTTTCTGCCTCTATACCACAATTACTTCTTTATTTCTGCTGCTTAACTGTGAAATGCTTATGGCTGGTTATGGCATCAGCAGTGTCACCGTGTTACAAAAAACACACCTCCTGAAATTCAGCAAAGAGAAACACCCTGTCCTGTCCCTGGGCTGCGATAACCCCCCAGCATCAGACCAGTTGAGGACCCACTGGTTGGAGCAGCTCAGCCGAGAAGCGCTGGGGTGCCGGCGGGCGAGACTGGATGGCTCCCCGAGAGGCCTCCCAATCCGGGTGATTCTGGGGTTCCTGACTCAGTCTGTATCCTGAACACCAACCTGACACGGCCCTGGGGTTCTTGATGTTCTTTCTTTCACGTGTCCCTACCCAGGAACACATCGCCGCGGCTTTTTCAAACAGTGACAACGGCAATTTCTCAGGTTAGCAAACTCAGAGGAAGAAAAGCTTGTGTGTGTGCCTGTTAGGTACAGATCTCAGCAGCAGCTGTTTACTTTGGAAACGGGAGATGCGATTTAACACTTCTGTGGCGTTGTGGTGTCCTGTATGTGGTGCAGTTTCCATGAGGACGATGTGCCCACTGCGCTCCTCTTTACGTCCCTCCTACAGACTGTAAACCCCTCTCTGTAACCCTCCCCCTTCCATCTGCCCCCCAGCTTTCAAAAAGAGAAA